GGCCCCAATTCACTTCACATTTACATTGTGAGAATTAACGGGGAGATGTTCGATTTCCCCCAACAGTATCGTGTACAGACAAAATGCAAAACAGTCTAATCATTTGTCTGCTGGTCAAGTGGTCAGTGTGTTTGTGTTTTGCATGTCATGAGGTCCCGGGTTCAAGCCCCGCTAGAGTTGGTGGATTCGCTCACTGTTCTAATGAGACCCAACCAGATCAAAACAGCTTGTTAACTTCTGAGTTCACGTCCTCATTTGCTCTGTGTACGACGAATTTCACGCGTTATAGTTGAATAGATATTGTCCAGTGATAGGTGTTTTCATCCCATCTGCTGTTTCTTTCACCGTTCACCTACCTCATGGATAAACCGCAGATTATTTTTATATCACTGTCACCATGCCGGTCATCATCATCAACAGCACAATCTTTTCACCAGACCATTTGTGTGTTTAGTTTGGCTTATTAGCCCTTTTCTGTTTATCCCACAATTTGTGTGTGTGTGTGTGTGTGTGTGTGTGATAAGGGAAGAGCGTCCAACCTTGGAACAGTGCTCGTAGCGAACCCGCACTTCGACCGTATGAGACGAGCGAACCCAGAAGGATAAAGGCCATTTGGAAGAAGAACATCACAACACATATGTCTTCGTTCTGTTTAAACTGTTTCATCGGAGTGGATCAACAACAACAACAGCAGCAGCAAGTAGAATGCCGGTCAAAGTTAGATGTTCCTGTATTTTCTTTCCGTGTGCACTCAGTGTTCGATAAACCGGGAATTCAATGACCAAAGGATTTCTATGCTATCGTCCATCATCGAAGTGAGAAGGACCGTGGTTTCGAATATGGCATCATCATTTTATTTCGACGGAGCAGTTTAATACCTTACTATGTCTAGTATGTGAACCTTGCCGGTCAATTGCACCTGATCGTCCATTCTGATCAGTGCCAACGGACACTGATTACGTAATTGCTTACTATTCAGGGGATGGCCATTATTTCAGTTATGAACACGATCATTTGATCGATGACTTCTCACTTGCCAGTTCGTACTACGTTTCACACAAGCTTGTCTAAAAACACTTACGCATAGTGCCTAATGAACAGGCTAAATCAGGATGCCCTCGGACTCAGTAAGATAAACCGATAGTTCATGATGAAGTACAACTCTCATGCTGATGTATCATTATTGTTGTTTTTGTTGTTATTGCTGAGTCCATGGTAATCCATGCCCCATTTGAAGATCGAGTAACGCTTGTGTGTGTTTGATCTCTACTTTCCGCACACTTGCTCGCTGTTTATTGGTGTTGATTTCCTCGCGTATTATTTGCATAGAAATCAAACTGTTGTTGCTGAGAGACGGCAGTTTTGTGATTCCTGATGCGCCCATTGATTCGGCTGCATCATGTTATCATTCTATCCCCGACAGTTCATCATACGGCAGTGGAACTCAACGAAATGAAGTGTCTCTTGCGTGCGTGAGTGCGTGCGAGAGAGAGGGAGAGATCGGCAGTGCGCAAT